AAATGAAGAGGAAAAAAAATGAGGAAGCACCAGGTTGACAAGAGGAACACACCACATACTGGGGCAGTGAGTACAGTCAAGCAGCACCAGTGGCACAGAAGCCTGCTGAGGGCATCGCTAACATTTTATACGTGTACTTGGACAGCTTTGTTTCTTTGCCCTTTCTCTCCATTGCAGTAACTGCAGTAACTCAGCAACTTCAGTGAATGTTCGGGTTACACAGTACACTTTTAACATAATACCTTCTCAGTGTATGCATTGTATTTTCTATATGTATCACAAAGAAGAGACTGTGTGCTAAAAAAAATATTAAAATATTTTCGTAAAGCATCTGAATGACAGAATACTAAAGGAATGCTTTGCCAGAGCTGTTGCTTCCATGTACTGACTGTAGCAGTGCTACATTTGAATTACAGGTGCTTACACTCATGCTATTTTGAAATCTATTGGCACCTGGCAGAGCTTACTTAGGTATGTGCCACAAGCACTCCTTGAATGTTAGCAAATCAGGAAGGTGGATGGCTTGAATAAAAATAAATTCAGTGCTCCAAGCTGAAAGAACCACAGATTGCAAATGTTTCATGATATAGTTTGCCAAAATTTGCGAAACCATGAAGACATTTAAAAAAAAAAAAAAGTCAAAGGGGCAGGATTTTTGGTTTTGGAGCTGAGAATTGTATTTTTAAATTTTTTTTAGTTTTATTTTTTAAACACAGTCAGAGTGAAGTTGCTGGATTACTTGTATCTGTTGCTGCTGCTGCTGCAAGGCTTGTTGTTGTTGCTGTTGTAAGGCAGAGGAGAGCTGGAGTCTCTGCTGAGGAAGGCTTTGCCCAGGTCTGTTCACAGCAGAGCCAAGCTGAGACAACACTAAGAAAGGAGAAGGGGAAAGCAGGCAGGTCAAAGAGGTCAGGTCGAGTTTGGCAGGGTCAGGCAAGGAAGACATAGGAATAGAGTGTTAACAGAAAAAGGGGATCAACAGAATTAGTTTCAGAGTCAAATTGGAAACAGTGCAGAATAAAGTATACATGATATACATACTGTTAGTTAGAACATAATTAGATTATGAAGTGCTTGTGGAGGCACAAAAGAGGTTTCTCATGTTGGATGTCAAGCACACAGTTAAACATTCCTCAATGAAGTTTGGCATGGAAGTTCCCTGTATTTTCTTTTTGTGTCAAGCATGACTTATTTTCATGTGATACTATCAATTTACTACACTTAACTGCCAAACAAAGCAGAAAAGTGCATGCTTGGAAAGTGAAAGTTCACTATTTCTTGTATAATTCACATGGTGGTAACAGTTAATTGTTCTGATCCAATATAAGACTTCTTTAAGACCAAACTTCATTTCAGTGTGAATTTATCAAGATACACACTTAACTACAAAAGGAGACTCAGCAAGCACATACCTGTGGCTTGAGGTTGCATAAAATTCCCTACTCCAGTCAGGTTAATTACAGCAGCTTGTTGGGCAGATAATGCCTGATCTTGATTGGATGGACCTTGGTCAGACCCCTAGCAAAAATGAAAAGCTTGATCCTTATTACCAAACTTTGGTATAAATGAATAAGTAAACAAAGCCAGTGTGAAGGCAAACTTTTGAAGTGCCATTTAAAAACATTTAATTCTACATCTTCCAGTGCATGTAGATACAGGCTATAACGTAGTCAACTATTAAAGTAGAACGAACAGATGTTGAATGCCCCAAAACAGCTCTGTTTTGGCAGAAATGGTATTAGGCCCGTTACCCAGCAGAAGTCCTGTGTCGTTGTCAACTTCCCTGCAGTCAGCAGAGACTACAGTTTATGGTTGTAATCTTAGGACATTTCCTGTCCCACTCCCAACCCCAAAGTCTTCAGGTGACACCTGAAACCATCCATGTGCAAAGGTCCTAATCAATCAAAATGTGAAAAGTCTGAAACTTACATTCACATGTTCATCCTGTGCAACGCACTCCCTGATTCCATAAAAAATACAAACCCTGCTTATAAAATGTTATTTTCAGAACAGAGTAGTTCTCACAGTAATCAGTCAAATGGAATTAGCAGAGTCTGATCTAGTGTCTACTGAAGTTGAAGGGTAATGAATTATGACCTTTTCTAGAACTTAAATTATGCACTGATTCATAAAGTGCAGAAGTAAAGTATTACATATGCAATTCAAGCAAACTGCATGGCTTATCAGTTAGGGTAGAAAAAAAAAAAAAAAAGCAGCTTTTGAGCTGGTGCATTTCCAGGAGTTGCAATGCTGCTTTCGAATAACCATATGAAATAATGCCACTAAGATCTAGGTAAACTTGATCAAAAGATGATTAAGAAGATACCATCATCTCGATAAGGACGACTAAGACAGACTTACAAAGTCATAGAACCAACAATTGGGGAAAAACCCTAAGTATGAGACAAGAATATGTATATTCTGGTCGCAGCACAGAAAATTGTTGGTCTTTTTGGGCTTAGGTTTTTTCCACTAAGCACTTGGGATTACAGCACTGTGAACACATACGTTCTTATCCTCAGTGAAAGCTAAGGAATCCGGTATTCCTAATAGCTCATTTGAACTAATGACCCTAGTCTGACTCTATAATGTATGGTAAGAGAGAAGTTCCGTAGAGCAAGTTAGGCAATGCAGAGAGATTGATTTCCTCCAGAAGAACTTTCTGCCACAAGAAGGCTTACATCAACCTTTTTGTGATTGCCCTTAACATTCAATGCCTAGAAAATGAAACCCAATAGTACAAGCTGGCATGAATTTTTTTTAGTAATTCAACTAGTAACTGACATTTGGATTCTGAGAATAAATCTGAAAGTCTCCCATTAAACTGTCCCACATTCCAGAACAAGGCCTGTGACACAGGAGACTATACACCATAAAAAAACATTTTAAAGAGACATCTTATTTATGAACAGTCTACAGCAGCACAAGCAAAATTATTATGACAAACTGAGTATCCAGTAGAGACTATTTGGTAAACAGAAGTCTTGCATGTCTGGGAAGACAAAAGATAAAGACAACAAAAACAGAGCAGCTAAGTTTTCCTCAAATGGCTGCATTAGTACTGATAGGATTTTTAGGCACAGGTAGAACCAACCATGCAAAATGTGTCATTTTGAGAACAGACAGATGGGTCTCTATCAAAGACTTTAGACTTCTATAGTGATTAAAGCCTTTAACACTAATTACAGGCAGCAGTAGAGCAAGTGTCTTAAGATTACAGCTTTAAAGCCGACTGATACTTCCTCTGGTGCAAAGAGGACAATTCTGTTGGAAGTACAGCAGTGAGGATCATAAGCCAGCTCACAGCAGTGCAAATAAGTAGTTTTAGTTACTCTAGGAATCCTGATTGTGTTTTCCCTCTCTTCATCTGGTGTATCTGCTGGTTATGATAAACAGGACAATACTAAGCTGATTTCACACCACTCGTACAGTGGGCTGGCTCTCTTCATGCTATAGTAAGACAGTGCTTAGCCACTTGTTTTGTTATAGCTCTTCTATACAGGGTACAAATAAAGGACTATAACCCAGCTCCAGCCATGGCCACAAAGCCACTGCAGTCTCTGCAGTTTGAGAATGTTCTGGAGGAAGACTTTCCTCCCCCTCTGCTTCGTATCTGTCCTGTAAAGGCTCGTTTACTTGTGGAGATGGGGAGAATAGGAGAAACTGTTTCATCCATGCACCCCAGACTGAGGGCTGTTAGCACACACCTGTTCTCCCTGTTGCTGAGGACTACAGGTTGTAGGCTGCTGAAACTGTTGCTGTGGAGAAAACTGTGACAGCTGCTGCTGCTGTTGTTGCTGGAGTGGGTTAAAAATAAGTGAACCACCTGGAAGCTGTTGAAGATTAAAAACAAAAGGCATAATTCAATCAAACTGCTGAGTTTCCCACTGTCCTAGGGTGAACATGACATTGATAATGACGTACTCCTCGGAGGTTTTGTTTTGTTTGGTGGTTTTTTTTTTTTTTTTTTTTTAAATCCTTTAAAATGAATCAGTTTACAACTGCTGTTTGTGAAAGAGCTTTATGCTCAGAAAACAAACCTGCATTAAATTATAGTGAGATACTTCCACAGAAAAATACAATTTTATTATTCTAATTAAAATAGTAGAGATTGTATTGATACTGGAAATATTCAGTGCTTTTAAGACTAGCCTTTACATTATTTTCACTTTCAGAATAATCCACTAAATTTTAATAGACGTTTCCAATCAACGGGCCACAAGGTCTGAGGCAAAAAAATGCTGAAGTGACACAGTCTAGATTCCTCTCCCTTTCCCCAGCTTTAATTGCACTGATTTCAGCCAAATTATTCTTCGCTTATATGAGTGGCAGAGGTAGCTTGAAAGGATGTATTTCAACATGGAATCACACAAATACAAGCATTATATTTTATGAAAGAGCTCTACTCTGGCATAACTGCCTCCTGTGCCTGCCCTCTTCCATGTTTCTGGAGTGTGTACAGGAGTGGGAGGAGGAACTAGCAGAGCTACAGCTCATCTTCTACCGGTATTCATTTTTTGAAGCACGGTGCAACATTTTGTGGACCATTGAAGCTGTGCTGCTGCACCTGTAACTTGCAGCTGACTTCCAAGATCCAGGAACTACACCCGGTTCCACAAACATTTCCTGTTTTGTTTTTAAATGGAGCTCTGACATAATAAGCAACTTTTGCTCATGTTTGTATGTATGCTTAGTGGAAAGAAAACATTTACAGACCTTCTAAACTCCCTACTTTATCAAAGCTCTTTAAAGCTATTACTGCACCTACCTGTGCATGTTCAGCTCAGCTTTTAGGCCTTGTACATGTAACCCCTGAGTGATTCTACTGTACTGTTTTGTGCTTTTAAAATAATCATAACTTCAGTTTGAAGAATGATTTGCAACAAAAGCTTAGGCAAATCCTGAAAACAGAAGATTGTATTTTAAGATTAATCTCTTGAATTCAAATGTCAGCATTTTTAGATTGTTACTGAGAACTAGCTGCTTTGTTGTGAGCTAAGAATGTAATTTCCACCTGATATCTTTATTGAAGTAGCTTTTTCTCTCATTCTAAGTGTTTTAAATAAGCAATTAAAATTTGCAATAAATGGTTTGTCTGACCAACTGGCTTCAAAGATCTGTGAGGGGCAATGCAGTAAGCAGCACTAAACACGTCTCTAAAGAAAATTACGAAATTATCATTATTATTGTGTCCAAGTATATCAATTACCTGTAGAAGATTTAAGGGCCGAAGATTTGATGCATTTTTCAAACCAAAGGGGCTGCCTGTTAAAGAAAACATCTTTTTATTAGTAGGAAGTCTTTACTTAATTATATATGTGTATTGCAATTAAGACACCCTTCCACTGGGATCATTTCTAAACAGTTGGAAGTTGGAACACTGTCAAGTTTAAATTTTATACCTAATACAATGCTGCATTTTCTGTAATGTTGATAAGTTCATAGTTATCCAGATTCAAAGTTAAAGAGAGCTGACTAAACAAAGAAAACTGTATTGCTATTGAACACTGTACCCCGTAACCTATAACCTGTTAATGCCTTTACACAAAGGTGAATGTGGAGAATATCATAGCAGTTATTCTTCAGTGATTTGTCTTCTGGCTTTATGAAGCTTTAGTCTTTGTACAGTAGTTCCAGAAATGGCCAAGGACTCCATGAAGTAACAGGCTCTCAGATTCTCAATCAGTAACAGAAAACAATCCCACCCAAAATCTTACCAACTGCCCACCCCCTACAAGGGCTTCTGGCAAGACGTATCTGACTTGTAGAGCTTTTGGCATTATTCCACATGGCACTCATCAAAGCTACGCTAAAAAAAGACGTATATGTAGTACGCTGTGAGTTGGGTATAGAGCTGATACAAATGCTCCAGTAAAACAGCAGCTGTCAAACAGAATCCCCCAGAGGTCTGCCACAGACCTAGCTCAGCTCATTACTCCCATCTGTTATGTGGGCAACAGCGCAGCATGTAAAAATCCGTGATGCCAAACTGGTAAAGGTTGATAGTGCTTGAAAGGACAGAATTAGAATTAGAAGTGATCCTGGGGAATTGAAGAAAGGGTCCAAAAATCAGTAACATTGAATTAAAAAAAGACAAACGAACAAGTACAAAGTTTTAACTAGCTTTGTGTCTATACAGCAAGAAAGGACGTGAGAAATTACAGCAAGTCACAAACATATCCAAATCATCCTTATCACAAACTACAGAACACACAAAAGAACCTCTTCACACAGTTTACATTTATAAAACTCACTGTCACAAGATGCTGTAGATGCCAAAAATATAGATGTGTTCAAAAAACCAGTTAGATAAATCCACAGACTAGAATTCTAGCACAGGATACTAAGCACAGAGATCCACGTGAATAGTCTTCAGCTGAGAGAGTCTCAAAGCTGTACACTGCCAGAAGAGGTACAGTTACATACAGTGGATGTTTCACTTCACACTTTTGCCTCATCTAAAACTCTCTCTTAAGTATCCTCTAATGGCGACTGTCAGAGACAGAATATAAACTGGATGGATTTTTGGCTTAAACCAGTAAAGTCATTTTTATGTTAATGTAATGCTGTTGCAAAAAAATACAAATAAAAATAGGCAGACCTCATTTGGGGAAATGTTAACGGGAATGTTGTGAAAAGATGAGATGCATTTATTCTGCTGTGCTCCACAGTGGTAAATCAGCCAAGCTCAGGCTTGTGTCCAGTTTTGGTTATCACTTTTTAAGAAGGATGTAAGCAAATTGGACAGTCTAGAAGAGAGTGACAGGATTATGAAAGGTTTGAAAAATACGACCTATCAGAAAGAGAAGACAAATGTGGGATGTGACAGCATGTTTGATACTTAGAACGTAAAGAGAAAGGGTGAACAACTATTTTGCATGTCTGCAAGGAACAGGAGGAAAACAAATTAACTTGCAATTAAGGAGATGCACTGCAATTAGAAGAAAACATTTCATATGGATAATGAACCACTGCAAACAGCTACTGAGGGAGACTGGAATCTTCTTTAGTGAAGGTATTTAAAGCCAGTTTAGATAAGCATTGGTTCAGTATGGTTTAGACAGATTTGACTCTGCCTCAGTGTAAGGGATGGATATCTTGAAGTCCTTTCTATACTTCTGCTTCCATAATCATACATTACAGCTTTTTTTGCCTTTATTTTTTTCAGAAAAAAATAACTAAGAATTTAAATGCTGTTTTAATGACTAGAGGCATGCAGATTTATAGTCATTTTGAAGACAATAATGAACTAATTGATTGTCCTACTAGAATAAAGCAGTACCAGAGACAGAATAAAATGCCCTGCACATTTAAAAAGTGATGCCTCTTTCTAAGTTCAGTCATGCCTTTTTTTCTGGCAGTCATCATTACCAACGTTGCATTTGAATTTGGAGTTTCTCTCAAACTTCCTACTAAGCATACCAAACAATCCAGGTTTAGAGTAGGTTTCCCCGGTCTAGCTCCTCAAAAATCAAACAAATCACAAGCAGCCTACACTTTGAATGCAAAAATATGTATGTTGTTCCCGAGCTCCAGCCATCAAACACAAAATCTGTTCACACAATGGCCACTTTCATCATCCATTGTTTTCACAATATGTTTTCACACTGTCCCTATCTGATGGGTGGCTTTTCAACTTATTCACACTAACCTGCTTGGGAGGCAGACTGCATTGCAGCGGGCAGCGCACTTGGTACCAGACCTCCTGATGGTAAAATGCCACTCAGATTTATACCTGCAGGGGCTATGGCACCAGTGTTGCACCCCAACATAGGGTTTGAACCACTCATCAGTGTCTGTGCTCCACTGTAGAAGAGGAAAGACAAGACATCAAACCCAACTGGTACAAGCAAGTCTGAGTAACTAAGTTTTTGCCCTCTGTCTCATGACAAGTAAATCAGTTGTTTGCTGTAAATAGGATTATGGCTAAAGCATCAAGGCAGCTTAAAAAAATCATTATGCCTAGGGTATAACAAATACGTAAATCCATATTCTTGGTATATACGATTTTTTTTCTTTGGTATAATCTATACAAGAACCACTTGTGGTTTATTTTCCATTGTTCTTTCAGTATTTCTAGAATCTTCAAAATGGTTGTACTATCATAACAAAAAGTTAAGGAACAGGCTTGTGTTTTCTTTTTGCACTATAAAAAAGATCTAATCAACAGTGATCAACTGCTGAATACCTTGGATGAGAAATTTAAGTGTCTGGTAACTTGCACTGAAGCACACTGTGTGTCTTACACTGACCATCTTATACCGATCGCAGAATTTCTTTTAGTCTAAAAAGCAGTTCACATTATACCACACAATCTGTTCTTGACAGCAGCATTTGTTATTTTTTTAAACCACAAAATGAGTTTTAAGGATCAAAGAATATTTAACCTCAATGTTTGATTAAATTGTTAGAAAACAGATTTGTTGTTTTCTTGTATTTCACATACAACTTCCATTCATAGGCACTTTAATATTACATCTCTTTCCATTTTTCATTTAGAGTGGTCTGCATATGGTGTTCCACTTCCTGATTAATAAAAAAGTTTTCAAACTGAAAGAGCAAAACCTCAGAAACCACTGAAATTGAGGTTAAGCTTTATGAAATTCAACTATATGCGTCCAAAAAGCTGAAAGCACAATTTTCTTAACAGACCTTTTCAATATTCTGATAGTAAGTGCCTTACATTTGAGAAACACAAACAATTTCTAGTGGCTCTTCACTTTGTAGTTATAAAGTGAATCATCTTTTTGTACTGCAGATCCTGAAAAATATCTATCCGAATGGATGCTGGACAGTCCTGTACCACTCCCACCCCTCCCCACCCCACTGTTCCAGCAACCAACCCACCCAGGGCAAGAAACCATCATAAGGGAAAAAAAAAAAACCAAACCAAAAAACTTACCACACAGGGCCCACTACATTGATGAAGTTAAGTCCTGCAGGGTTTGCCATGACCTGGGTGGAGGTTGTTCCTGTAGTAATGGATGTTACCATGGTGGAAAGAGGAATGGTCATTACAGGCAGTGCCTGGCTCAGAGACATTTGCTGCTGAGCAAATGGGGTTAACAAAGTGGGCTGAGGGGTGAAGCCTGAATCTTGGGGAGTAGGGGTGGCAGAAGGGGTAATAGGAGTTGAGCTCTGAGCATCAGGAGGGTGTGGGGTCGATGAAGGGGTGTTGGTTGGAGTAGGAGTAGATGGTTTAGGAGTTCCAGACCCTGCTCATTGAGAAAAATAAAAAGTGCTAGTTCGTTATAAAAGGCCAGTCCTTTTTGTATAATAAGGTTAATGGAATCGTATTTAGCACTGACAATTTGTTCCATTTTTCAGACTGCAAGTGTTAATCTCTACACGACACGAGTGTTGCAGCACGCACTCATTGTTAAGGATGCAGTATAATCACACAGAAAACCCATTCTCCACACTTAATTCCTTAAGCCATACACCAATTTCTATCCTCCATTAAGTCCTTCCATAATTTATCATACATTAAGTCACAACTCCATTCAGAAATACTTAAATCAAAATAAAACAATTTCTTAGTGACCATTTTAACCTAATTAATGTTTTTGTCCTAAAATGTTAAACATATAGTCTATATGCACTGCCTGCACAATAGCATCATGTTAAAAACATATGGAAAACAACAGATTCAACAAAGAACATACACTATTTCAATAATCCTGGGGTTGATCTAAATTTCATCAGATATTTGATCAAAATTTGGCAAATGGGAGTTTAACTAAAAATATTTGTTCAAGAACCAGAGGATAATACCGCATCTTTAAAAGTTACTGGGTAATTTCTTCTGCTTAAATGTAGCCTGTATAGCTATATTTATTGTGGATGCAGTAAGCAGAGTTTCAGTAGAAAACCAAAACAAAACCTCAAAAAGCTTGAGGGTGTTTTTTTTTTTTAAGCTTTCATGTCCTGCAGAAAGAAAGGAAATAAATGTGAATGTCCAGCTGTTGTGACCAGAGCCTTAAAGTAACAACTGTGTGCAGCAGATTTACACAATTCATAGTACTAATGTAAAAAGAGTAAATATGTTAGAAGAAAACTTTTAGAAGTTTTCTTTTTTTCTTTGTGCAAAACAAGAAGGCAGAAAAGTTACACCTTTTGAGCTATCCAGATTTTAAATCATTTAATGCAAAAAGTGTATTATAATACTGTGCAGGATACTGGAATGTGCAGTATACAATTACTCATAAAAAACCTGAAAAACTGCAGCTATGATTTCTCTTTGTACAAATCTGTTCACGAAATGTCTCAAGACGCATACATTTTTTTAAAAAAATGTTTATGATCTATAGCTATGATTACAATGATCCTGTCAGCGTTAATGAAAATACTTAAACTAGGATGTCACTTGTTATTGAAATTTACATTTTAACACCTGAGAATATGGTGCTATCATCATCAGCATCACCACCACACTTGCAATCAGCAATGATTTGTAAAACAGTGTAGGAGTGTTTTAAAAAATCATCTTATCGTTTATTGTATCACCACCTTGGGACTGATCAGATTATATACATACATAGAGATACAACTGCACCAGCTCCTATAACATTTAAAAACCAGATGCTTAAATTATGTAAAGGCAAACTGATCTAACATACTGTTTTTACACTGCAGGAAAAAAAAATCTACACTTTGGAATTTTATCTCATCACATCATCTACCAGCCTTTCATAAATGCGATCATACTAATTGCATAAAATGTATTAAAACGTATACACAGAGGGTGCATACATATATACAGAAAAAACGAACACAGTTACAATAAACATAAAATACATACAGTGAACAAGAGACCTGCCTGAAGCTGCACAACTTACACAATTTAGGGTACACTGTACACTTAAGTTTCATCATTCCACAGGTTAAGAAGTTTATCTCAGGAAGCATTTATGCAAAAGCCTAAGATTTAATGGAGAATTTAGGTCGTGACTCACTTTGTGAAGAGCTCGCAGGAGACATGGCAGCTGGAGAGAGCATGCTAACTTGATTAAGATCCATAGATTGTTTCCGAGAAAGACCAGGAGGCTTAGAAGGAGGAGGAGGAGGAGTTGGGGATTTTAGATGGCCACTTGACTGTTGTGGACTAAAAATATTACCTGAAAAAGCATAATTAAAATACATTATTGTTCTCTGAGTACATGTTAACTTGAATTTTGTTAGGATACAAGTTTTGTGAACAATATAATCAGAATTCAACAAAATGATGCTATTTTCGCAAAGAGGGTATTGATTTTTTTTTTAAATTAAATCTTTACTAAAGGGATATCATGTCATTTTACAATAGGCAGAACACATAGAAAGGAGATGCTGAAGTCAATAAATAATTACCTGAAGAGCTACTTCCTGAACTTGAAGGTAATTTGATGGGAGGAGGTCGGTGTTTTACACCTTTCCCCAATACTGAAGATTGAACAGAGCCTGATATACTTTCTGGCTGCTAGGAGGAAAGAGAAATTAACACTACCACAGCAATAATGTGAGTTTCCACATATTTGATAGAAAAGACAATTAATTTGTATTTGACTCCTCAAAACCATGACAAAATTCCCTTCAAACATTTCAGATTTTTATTTATTTATTTTTAAAACATAGCCTATGACTGACTCTCTTTAGATAAAATGCTTACCATCAAGAAGCAGCTTGCAAGTGCCGGTAAAATTTTAAGCGAGCAAAAAAAAAAAAATTAAGGAGTTTCACTTTTCTCCACAGTTCAGAAATCCTTCTTAGTAACTTTTCACAAATGCAAGAATGAGAGATGCATTTTAAATAAAAGGACAATTTAGTCTTTCTTGAAAAATTACATGATTTCATTCATTCACCATTTGTATACATCTGCCATTTCCTTAGAGAACAGGATCAGATTTCCTGATTCTGGGTGTAGGAACTGAAATACATTCAGGAAAGTCCCACTGACTCATTGAGTTCAGTGGGACCAGAACTTCACTAATCTTTTCAGAGGAAAGGTGCTCCCTTTCTGTTCGTTCTTAGCCTACTTATTAGGTTGTTCGAACATAAATTAACTTCAGCTAATCAAGTCTGTAGTTCTCAGTCACTCACAACAGACCCTAAATCCATAATTCCAATAGCTGACACCATCGAAAGACTCCACAGTGAAACACATTTATAGTCTATATATTTTTACCTATAAAGCAGGTATCCCATAAAAGAAAGTAGTGTCTAAACAAACATACAGTTCAAAAACTGCTGAAACTAGCAAATAAGGCTGTCAGTATACTGAATGGAGTATTTCAGTGCTGGAGCCTAAATTAGATGTGCATGGGCTAACAAATCAGAGCATCCACCATTGTGCAGAATCAGCCTTTTTAGATAGCTTCGCTTCCACTGATTCTCAGTAATAAGAGAGACACTCCCTCTACATGTTTCTAATTGCTTGCTTATAAAAAAAAAAAAGAATCTTTTGAGGAAAATTCTGAGGATTACCTTTCTCTTTTACTATTAAAAACTGCTTTCTTCATTCTGAAAGTAAAGACTAATGTCTCATTCAAAAGGGGACTAGATCATTAAGTAGAGTAACCTGAGTAACTTTGGTCCAGCTTTCCATGGGGACTTGGACAGCTGCACAAGACTACTTCCAGAAGTATCCTCCCATCCTAAGTTATGCTGTGGTTTTAATACATTTATATAGATTTAAAAAGTAGGTATTTAGGGGAAAGATGTAGCAAAGGAAATAGCCCAACGGATACAAAAATTAATTTACTAGTTGGGTCCTAAATACAGTTTACCACTAGAGTACTGACCAAGAAAGCCAGGAACAGCAAGTAAAACACAAGGCAATGCCAACAGGCACGAGACTTCGGGAACACAGGAATTTCTACTGGATGTGTGCATACAAACACATGCACTTTAAAGGTTTTACCATTTGTGGTTTTTTTTTTTTTAAGTTTTCATCTTCAAACTAAAGAGAAAGTGACTTTAATAATTTCTAAAGGTAAAAGAAAAGAAGTTCAGCTACTACATCTGCTTCTGTGTTTTCTGACCTGTAAAATAAAATGCATAGCTGCATTTTACATACAGTAAAATGCTCTGCTCTGTGAAAGGTTCATCTGAACTGTGGAAAATGCTACAACAAAACCTTGGAGCTAACTACACTACACACTGCTAAAAAAAAAAAAAAAGAGATACGGCTAAAAGACACAACATTTGAACACTGAAAACAAAAGTGCTTTCCTCTAACTTTTCCAATATACTCACTCTGAATGATTATGACAACAAATCATTTAAAAATTAATTCAGAAAGAAATTTCTAGGTTATTTTACTTTTAAATGTGGATAGCAAAAATTATTCTAATAATTCAATAATAAAGTCCAAATAAAAGAAGTGTATGGCTCAATAAACTCACTTCCATTTCCTTGCCTGGAGAAAGATGACTAAGATTGACTGATCCACCTGAATTATGAAACATTTTCACAGGACATTTAGCTTCATTTTGTACTAACTCCTGATACTGGTTCACCACTCTGAAACAAATAATGAGCGCATAAATATATTAACAACTTTGAACTTGTAGATATGTATATGTAAACACACATCATCATACATGTTACATAGTCATATATTGTTCATTTTATACGTAAGTATATATTATGTAAGTGTGTATCCATATAAAATAGAGATGCACATATATAAAACATAGCTATATCTCTATATATCTTTCTACTTTATGTTTCTGGGCTCTTTTCTTAAATTTATTGCATCTTAACTTTTAATCTGGTGGTTTTTTAATGCAAAATACAGTTTAAGAAACACATTGAAGAAACCCTCTTTTTGAAGAATAGGCAAAACAGTAGACTGAACAGTTCCCTTCCCAAAAGTAACTGCAGTTCTTTGGGATGTCAGTTAATGGCGATCCCATTCCCATCACATGGGTCCAGCATCTTTTATAAAGCTGTGTCCTCTGCTTATGCTCCCCGTAGAACAGTCAATTATCTTTTAACTTGAGGTCTACGTCAGATGAGGACTCTGAAAGCAAGGGGTGAACTAAGAGGTCCATACTGAATGTACACCCAAGAACCAGTTATCACACCAAAAGCGATCACCCTTCTTTGAGCACCAGGACAGCCAGGTCTTGTTCTATGAGACTAATGAGCAGTGATGTATCCAGGAATTTAAAGCTTCAATAGCATCACGCAAACAAGTTTAAAATACTGTTCTACCAAATCAAATACTAGTTCTCTCAAATTAGTAGAGATGTAAGTTGAGGGAATACCATTTCACAAAGACCTTGCAGTCTTGAAAAATCAAGCCAAAGACATGTTGTCACTTATACTCCGGCAGACTGAATCTCAGTGAAAAACTGCTGGAATACTTCCATTAGCTTACACCTAAATGCAATGAACTACACTTTATTTTGGTATAGCACTGATTCAGTATGCTGCTACGTGACTAATACAGACATAAGCAAGGGCCCCAAGATACACAGCAGAGGAAAGGGTGCAGTGTACTTTTTTCAGCAATTAGGTTTTAGACTGCCTTAAAATCACAGTGGAATTAGAGCAATAAAATGCCATGTACTCAAAAAGGTGGTCCTGCCCTCCTTCCTCCTGTACAGCTTCTTCTTGTTCTAGTCCCTGAAACCCAACTGCTTATTTTGACTGAATGATTTGTGCAACCCAGAGGCAAACTGGATCAGGAAACCAATCCCAGTTAAAACTAGACCCCTGTATTATTGTTGTTTTAGTTTTCAGTCAACCAATCCCCCAGTTCAGCTTACAGCACAAACAGCAAAAGTCTCTATCAGCACAATGGAGGCAGGAGAGAATATAAGCAAAGAGTTTCTTTATCAAAACTATCTATTAAACCAAAAAACATTATTATTGATTTTTGACCAAATCAAGGACTCGTCTTCCTGCCAAGCACCTCAGAAGAGGGCGGGGGTAAGAGCTATGGCATGTACCTCACCTCGAGGTCTCATATGAAGGCACAGAACTACAATGGTTTTGGCAGAGATTGCTTTGCAAAGGTTCTGTGCTCATATGCACAAAGAAACACAGGTGTCTCATGTGATGCACACTGACAAACATTTGAAGAAATACTTATTTTGCTGCCTCTTATCCCAGAATTACTACTCATAATCATTCTACAACTGAAAAACTGTTTTGTTACTTGCTTCTCTAAGAAAGCTGAATTGAGTAATGCATAACACACAAAAATAAGTTGCATATATACAAGCCCTAGATTACACTTAGAGTTCAAACAATTTCTATGATTGCTAATTTACCATACAAAATGTCAAGATGAAATTCCGGCTAAGGACTCTCTGAATTTTATTATTGCTGGTGTAATCAAGAATAATTGTGCAAATAACTGTAACGACATGCTTGAAATTTAGGTAGTGGGACACCTGTATTCACGTATTTGCTTTCCTCTATTCTTCCTTGCTTGTTAAATATAGAAACCGCACACTATATCCTACTTCTTGTTATGATGATTAATTCCTCTTATTTTCTTCATCTGTTCTGCATCTGTTTCTATAACCACAACATTAGCAGTCATAATGGCAAAAAGGAACAGCATTAATTATTTGGCATGAAGCCAAATGGTTGTATACATTATATTAATTTACCTTTCAGCATCAGTCTTCGAACCAATAAGGAACCTGAAACGTAAAATGTATAATACATTTTCAGTCACAATTTTAACTAAAAGAACATGTTTTTGTAATCACAAAACTTTGAATGAATGTCAATGCTGCTCTTTTTTCAGACCTGCTGAAAATACAAGGGATACCGTATCCATTTAATGGACTGGGTATTTAGTACTTGAAATACAAATTTGGCTTCATAACTATATTTGCAATATACACACATGGTCTAATATAGTCTCCTTAAAGAGTAAATTGCCAACAAAGCAAAAGGCAGAATATGGAAGTTTTGTATTTTATACTTTCAAAAAATGCAAGTAACTGCTACAGAATCGCTACTGTAAAAAGTACAAGGGAAAAGTTATGTATAAATCAGCATATCAATAAGCTTACACTGAAACATAAACATAAGTGTCCTGTGGGTATGTCAAAACCAGCCCTACCTGTAGTATTTTAACAAACATTTAGTTTACATTGTTTCATTTCACTATGCATATTCTGATTCCTCATGATTTTCTGGAACTCCTAAATAAGCATTTCTCTTTTGTGTAATGCTTATGGCTTGTGAACTTATTACTTCAGTCATTTTTTTTTAAACACTACAGACCTTTTATCTGTTTCTCTAGCTAAAAAGAAAAGCATTGTTTTATTTTGCAGCAGAACAACAAAAATGTCTTCCACACCTTTTAGTTCATATGATGGTTTTCTAACGAGGAAGTATCCAAATTTTTATGAACTTCAACTGGTAATGTCTTAGAGCAGTGGTTTCCAAAAAACCCCAGGCATCTAACACCTATAAATCCTTTTAATTCCCAGCCTGTCAGGTAGCACTGCTGTTCCAGGAAGATCAGTACTAAGCATGTGTGCTGGTTTTGACTGGGATAGAGTTAATTTTCTTCATAGTATGGGGCTATGTTTTGGATTTGTGCTAGAAACAGCACTGGTAATACAGGGACGTTTTAGCCATTGCTGAGCAGTGCTTACACAGAGTCAAGGCCTTTTCTGCTTCTCACACCACCCCACCAGCGAGCAGGCTGAGGGTGCATGAGAAGCTGGGAGAGGACACAGCCAGGACAGCTGACCCCAACTGACCAAAGGGATATTCCAATACCGTATGACATCATGCTCAGCAATAAAAACCTGGGGGAAGAAGGAAGGTGGGGATGTTGGGAGTGATGGTGTTTGTCTTCCCAAGTAACTGTTACATGTGATCCCTGCTCTCCTGGAGAGGGCTGAACACTGCCTGCCAATGGGAAGCGGTGAATGAATTCCTTGTTTTGCTTTGCTTGAGTGTGTGGCTTTTGCTTTACCTATTAAACAGGCTTTATCTGAAGCCATGAGTTTTCTCACTTTCACCCTTCTGATTCTCTCTTCCATCCCACTGGGGGGAGTGAGTGAGCAGCTGCGTGGTGCTTAGTCGCTGGATGGTGTTAAACCACGACAGTATGGAAACAGTAAATAGCTCAGTCTAGGAATAAATCATCCTGACTATTAAGATTTTAAGATTTTAATAAAAAATAAGACAGGAATTACACACTAGACAATAAAAATAGTTTTCATTAACAGAACTAAAGTTTGCTCGGGCTCACTGCTCTTGCCTTACTGAAATTTATAGGGTCTGTTCTGCTGCACAGGTTCCTCCATACAAAGAATCTGGTACACACAACAAAAAGAGCCAAGAATAGAGAATCTTTGTAGAACCACAGCCAAAAACCAGCAGATTCAAAACAATTCAAAATGATGAAGCTTCTTAGGAGCTCATGTTTTTCTTCATCACTTATGTAGCCTAAATTTCTTTGCATAGGGGTAAACATAATGTAATGAAGTCTTACGTTTTTGCAGCATCAGGCAAATTTTGACAACAATCAAAACTGAGTTAACACTGAAAAGAGTGCTAACAATGTCTCATGGTATCTCCACAATTAGAGGAGTTGTTTTTTTTTTTTTTTTTGGGTTTGTTGGGGTTTTGTTTTGGTTGGTGGTTTTTTTTTTGTTTTTTTGTTTTTTTTTTTTTTTTTTTACAATGCATCTTTAATGTAAAAGAACATGCAGATTTTACATAAAAGGACATTTAAGATATGATGGTTGCTTGAACACATTCTGGTTTGGGTTTTTTTTGTTAAAAAAATTTTAGGTTCATGACCTGAACTTTTCAAACAAAACTCTTAAATCAGATTTCTAGCTCTAGAGTATTTTTATAACTGAAAATTATAAGTACTGTTTGTCTTTGTTCATCTATCAGATCGTAGCACAGTTTAAAAGAACATGTAACTTACTGCGATGGAGTTAATAGGTTGTCATTTTCCTCATCACCTTTGAGTGTCTGAATTTTACCATAGTACAAGGGATTGCCAAGAGACTGAAAAATGGTCAGTTTTGTTTTTTGAAGCTGATTACCAACTTCACATTCAAACACATAATCATCTTTTATTTCCTAAAAAGACAGAAGAAAATAACTAAGTAAGTCTTAAACAAGTGGTAAAAGAAACAGCTAGTAAAATATGCCAATTCTACACAACACAGTAAGAAACACTCTATAAGAAGGGGTGCATTATCTAAAAGGAAAGGGATTTGAGAAGTTATCTAAAGGGATGAGAAGAGAGTTTATCATCTCTTAAAAATACAAAATATTGCAAACCCTAAACAATCATGTTAGATATGGAGAAGCAGACTGGGGAAACCTCTAGAAAGTTTTATGTAAATTATGACAATGCAAAAAAATGTCCCGAGTAAAACATTGGAGACAAAGATTAAGTTCTATGGGAAAAGGTATTACTTTTTGCTAATATGAAACTACAAAGACATAATGATAGATGCTGTTAATGAAGATTAATTCTTTGTAATTTTGGAGGCAAGACATTATGAATTGACTTATGGCTAATTATATTAAATGGCTACTTATCAAATTGTGTAATTTGTGTCAAAAATCTTAAGTTTCACCTTAAACACTGCAGAAAGAGCTTTTTGTAAAAGGTATTTAGTATTACTTAATCTGTTTCCAAATTTAACATTTTCATTTTAACAGAAGCTCTTTTCCATCAGTCTGAGTATCTGAGTTAAGAAAGCAATTTGTTGAGCACAGTACTGCTCTCTAACTTACTATGCTTTCTTTACTATACAGCAACAGCACATGTTACTTGGGAGATTAAAGTTGCTTTTCCTTGTATTTCTGGAAAATTGAGGAAATTACAAGACTGATCACATGCACGCCACACTGTATGAAATTACAAGTATCTGTGGTAATCTTTCTGTGTCTATATAACACATGGAAGATTAATTAAATTGGGGGAGGAAAGACTATTCACATGTTACTTAGATTTTGTTGAAATAAGAGGCATTTTAACTAGACAGGGAAGTTTGGCCAAAGGTCTAAACTACTCACATGGGCTGGCCAGACAGTTGGTTGTGAATCATCAGGCTTGATAGACTTTTCCACTTTGGCATACTTTTCCACCTTAAAGAAAATGGAGGTATCAGAAAAGAACAAACAATAGTCATACTGGGCCAGAGTTAAAGTCAATCTAGCACAGTTTCTTGTTTTTAACAATGGTTAACACGATCGTCTTTAAAAGTGAGTGCAAGAAACAGACAAGGATAGCTTGATACTTGTACAGTGTCCCTCCTTTGTGTTATCCATTCAGAAAAAATGAATTGGAGAACCTTCAGAACTTTACATTTATTATGTTATACCATATTTGCTATGTTAAACTTAAATGTGTGAAACATGGCTTAAAGACTACAGATTGAGATTACTGCCTGCAACGTGGAATGGTTAAGAAATTTTGCAATACCACTAAGTCCTAAGGACTCTAATTAGGTCAGGTACAATACTGTTGAAGTGCAAAGGGAGAAGGTTTGTACAAACTTACAGCATCATTTCATGTCTAACACACACTCATGCCAGCCCTATTAAGTCCAAAGCTACAACCTCGTCTAGTCTACTGAGTCCCTTCTGTACGCTAGTAGTATGTGTTTTGGCAGTGACAGAAATGGAGAATATGAATGTCCCCGAGAAAAGAACACACGCTGAGTGATCAGAAGAATTCCCAACCAGAGCTCTCATATAAAAAATTAAACTATTGAAAATATTATGTCTCATAGTATCATGTCAAAAAAGAGGAATTTCTACCAGGTTGGGAAGTGACTAATTTTTAAATAATCTCCTTACCTCATTTCTTTTTCTATTTTTTATATTATCAGAGAACTTCAAATAGACATGTGCTCATTGAACCCACAGATGAACAATACTAAAGATCTGTTTGCACTGTTTATCTTATCCGAACTATCATGTTACAACTGCAATGCATTCCAATGTATTTTAACTTGTGTTTACACCTTACAGTATAGAAAAATGATTTTAAACATTAAAATCACTCCCACTTTTTAAAGGTCATTCTTTGATACTGGATACTCTTTAGTCACTTCTTCATACAATACAATGTTCAATACAATTGCTAATAATTGCTAATGTTAACAACTGGACTTACATCCACTTCAGAAGGCGCAGTCAAGTAGCAAGGGTTCTGTTTCCACATATCTACGCACTGGAAGATGAAAAAGCAGTATTAATTTATTAAATGTTTTAAATAAATAGTTAGAAGTATACCCACCTGTCTCAGAACACTTACATTTCCAGCTTTAGAAATCTTGAGGTCATACTGCTGGGCTCCTTTCCTCTCCTTTCTTTTCTGTAAGTAGTCAAGTAGTCTGAGCTGAGGTGGAGTTGAATAGTGAGCTACTTCCTGCTGTCTGTTCAGAGATGACCTGGAGTACCTTTTGAAGCACCTATGGTAAAATGACAGATAAGCTTGTAAAACCATCAAAATGAAAATCTCCACTGCCTGTACACAAACACAAAAATATGCAGGGAAATCCTACTTACATTGAGACTAAAAAACAGCTTTTGAAATATTAATTTAAAATCGCTAGTCTGGATTACATGGTACAACTCAAACTCTTGACTTCATATTTTTAAAAAAATACAGTATTCTGTTCATGTGTTTCAGCACTAAGAATAGGGTTATTTTTGAAATGCGTAATTGAAGTACATTGTCAAAATGAGTAACTAACTGAAAAGTTGCCAAGCTTAAAATATTTGTGTATTATCATATATTTCAGTTCTGTCAAAAGATCTGTGTACTGCTTATGTAACTATACAGTTATAAGCACAGTAACTACCCTCCATTCTTTGTCTCATGCCAAACCCACTGGTACATTAATGCTGTTCTGGACATTCATTTAACACCTTTGCCTATTTTTCTAGTGTAAAGTTTGTTGACCACCAAGCTCTAATTTTAAGGACAGCCAGATCAATTTCACTTTTTATACTTTTTTAGACATTACCACTGGTTGTATATTGGCATAGTATTTCAATGCAAATCTAGTTTTAAATACGTCAGTAATTCTGACAGGCCATCCATACATTTTCATTCTAAAGAGTGAATGCAACTCTTTTAGTAGAACAAACGTGAACCCTTTCAAGCTTTTGTGAAAAAAAGTGAACAACCATGCACAAAAGTGAAACAATTTCAACATTTTGTATATAGTGCATGCTGCGTTACTTTTAATTTTTTGAAGTGTCTAATACACCTACGCTTCTGTTTAGCCTAAACATCAAGCATATAAATAATTCCCTTGATTTCCTCATTCAGGGTTAAACTTGTACATAGCTTTTAACAAATCAGAGACCAATATGCAAGATATCCGTTTATGTATTTTACATTACTGAGCTGCCATCTGACTCTGCTTATGTCTGAATTATGCAAAAAAGAAAAAGACAAAATCAAAACTGCAATAAAGTATTATGTTAAGAAAATATACACATTCTTTTGATATGCAAAAACAAGCATATTACAGTACCTACTAATTGAAATACAGTACAATATTGAGCACTTAAATAAGATAATTTCTTGACTGTTCCTCATATTCCTAATATTTAAGTAGATGTTACTTTGAGCACTGCATACGAAAAGCAAAATTTTCACATAAAGCATTGCTTATATTTTTCTTTGAAACACTTCATAAAATTTCAAAGAAAGTCTCAACACACTTCACACTGAAAACTACCGTTTCATGGGGCGAGTATTCATCTTCTGCTTGTTGTACAGGAGTCTGTTCGTAGTACAGGTCACTGCTATCGAAGGATCAAGACACAAAGGCTCTGCTGTAGCCAAAATAAGTTGGCTCTCAAGTAGGAGTTTGTCCTCCTGTAATATACACAGCTATTAATAAATGTAAAAAATACGAAGGCTTTTACACTAAGTTGATCTATACCTACACATATGAGCACAGTATCTTAAAGAAAACTGAAAAAATAGTGTGTGGATAGTCAACAAAAGAAAATATTCAACAGTTAAGTATCACTAACCATTATTATGAATTACAGAGCTTTGGGTGGGGTTTCCAACAGGAAAATAAATCCTTCTGAAAAGTAGAGGGCATGTTCTGTTTGTGTGAGTTTTCTTTGTTTCTTTTAAACACAGTACTAGTGGCAATGAAATCCATTTTCTGTCAGTGATTTATATCGATGGACTGGCAATCAGTGCCATAAAGACGATCTACTTTAGACTTCAGGTTACAATTTGAAATGGATTTGAGCATGATTGTGGCTCTGAAATACAAACGAGCACACTGCGTACACCATGCTATTCAGCATTTAACTAACTACATAGTAAAACCATAGTTACCTAGGATTCTCCTTACTGTAACAGTATCAACAGCAAAACGACGCTAGAGGAACAACTGTGTCATTAGACTCCATCTGCTGTTCTGGGGATGTATGTTGAAGGTGAATGAAGTAAGGTAAACTAGTTGGAGTAACTCCAATACTGTCATTCTGCATTACCAAAAATTAAGGTCTGATTCTCCAAAACTTTTAGCAAATCCTATTGTTTTCTGTGGCATCTTGTGGGAAGATGCTATTAACAAGTTAATTTGGCAGCTCTCTGGAGTGTGTCCCATGCAGCACTATGCACATCACTGACAGTTTGGATTAATCAAAAAAATTATCATCAGATTTTATTAAACAAAAATTTAAATAAATGTTATTTTATTGCATATTTACCACACCCCTGTAAAGTTCTAAAATAACTGTTAACCCACCTGTGTCCATTTGTGGTTGTCACTTGTTATAGAATGCACATCACAAATTAAAGTCTGAGGAAGAAGACATAATGGTAATTAGCTTTCAACTAAATAAGATTTCTTAACATACTGTTCTGGTTTCAGCTGGGACAGAGGTGTGCGTTTTTGTGGTTTTTTTTTTCCCTAGTAGCTCATATAGTGCTGTATTTTGGATTTAGTATGAGAATAATGTTGATAGCAACAACTGAAACATCAGTGTGTTAAGTAGTGCTTACCCTAGCCAAGGACTTTTCAGCTTTCCATGCCCTGCCAGTGAGAAACTGGGAGTGAGCACAGCCAGGACAGCTGACCCAGGCCGGCCAGAGGGCTATTCCATATCATATGATGTCATGCTCAGTATATAAACTTGGGGGCAGTTGGCCGGGGGGTGGCAACCACTGCTCAGGAACTGGCTGGGAATGGGTCAGCAGGTGGTAAGCAATTGCATTGTACATCACTTGTTTTGTATATTCTTTTATCATCACTATTATTTTTTTCCCTTCCTTTTCTGTCCTATTAAACTGTCTTTATCTTAACCCACAAATTTTACGCCAATTCTCTCCCCCATCACACTGGGGCAGGGCAGGGGGAGTGAGAAAACGGCTGTGTGGTGTTTAGCTGCCTGCCAGGTTAAACTACAACACATGTTCAGTAATAGTTCGTATCCAGTCTAGGAACTACCATAACAATGAAGAATGACTTAAAATGTTTTTTACCTGCATTGTAGGACGCAAAAGAATGTGCTTGCTTTGGTACGTTGGAGATTTCATGTTACCAGACTGCCTATAGTCACGTATTTCTGCTATGACACATCCACAATGAAAAATATTAACCTAGTTGAAACAAAAAACCCCAACTTGTAAATAAACAAATATTTACCAATCTGCCTCAGCCCCTGCCTCCAAAAAGAAGTCTGTTATGTATCATACAATATTCAGTGATAAAACTGATCCTTAATTTTGTCAGACCAGTGGTCTTTACTACATACCTAGACATACCTAAAATACAAGCTTCAAACGTAGTGTTTTCATATGCCAGCAATGGTTCTAAGAAATTCCCCATGTCAAATACGTCATAATGACAAACAACAAAGAATATTTTGCTAGAGCACAGAGTTGAAGTTGTTCAGCAGCCTTCACCATAGCAATCTCTCTTCTATCCCTTCCTCCCCATTTTTTTTTTTCCCTATATATCAATAAAATATTTATTTGGGGCATTAAATATTACAGTTCCAAATGCACAAGTGTTTTGCATCTTGTGGTTGGAACCACCTACATGAAGCATTCAAAAAAAAAAAAAAAAATCAAGGTCCATCTGGGTACAAAACATAAGTTCTTTTTGAAAACAAAACATTCAAACCTGAGATTTTTCTAAAAGATCAACCAAAATAGGTGGTAGCTCCTCTGCATCCAAATATTCAAGCAGCTCTCCTTCCTCATAAGGCAGCCGAATGGTCTCAGAATCTGAATTTAAACAAAACATACTGTTTTTCTTTTGCCTTTCAAGTTCAAACTTTAACAACGTGAAATCTAAAACAAGCTTGCCACAGGAAAAAGCAGGGACAGTGTAAACGTATCCAAACAGGCAATTTTTTTGCACAGAAATAATGTTTTTACATCCATTTCTGTTCCCAGAGCTTGATTTTGCTCTTATTGTGCCAAAAGGCAACATGCCTTTATAGCTCCACGGGATGAAATTTTTGCTCCCAGCTGATATACTGTATGCTCTTACTGCACCTCACAGTACCAGTGGCATGAAGATGCAACTAAACTGGAACACAGATGCCTTTAGTCAGACCTAGATTTAGGAAGCAGTGAAAGAAACAATTTGACAGAAGGAGCCTGAAGTGAGAGAAACTCAGATAAGCAACTTGGGAAGCTAAGGGGAAATAAAAGAATGGAAGGCTATCAAAAAGAGTTGTATCTACTGATTTACGCTGCACCATGAGAGACAGTTTCTGAGCACCTCATAGCTTTAGGCAATTTTTTAGTTCAAGTACAGTTGTGGGGGTTTTTTTTGCACAAGGGGTTATGTTAGAAGTGAAACAGTTAAATGTAAGCAACAACACATTCTAACTATTTATACAGCATTATGAGTATTTTTTAAAATAAATAGCAAAAATATTACCTGAACCATTTTTTCCCCTGAGCATAAGTGAGTAACCCTCATTTCCCGGATAGAGGTTCACTACCAGACATGACAATGTCTCCTGCATAACCAGCTTCTCGAGTAAATTCACATTTCGCCTCAGCTTCTGCTTTAAAAGCAAACATTGCTTATGAACATAATACTATCAAGTAATTAGTAGCAATAAAAACAATTGCTAGAATGAGTATGATTTAGATTCATGTTGAAGTATATAGCTAAACAAGCCCAGTTAAATTTAATTGGACTGTATTCAGCAGAGTATATTCATTATGTATTATTATGCATACTTATACACAGATTAAAAAAAAAAATACTCATTTAAATTAAAAAAACCCTCGAATTATAAGTCCACAGACAACTCTATTAACAAGAATGACCCTATGCTACAATGTTGTAAATCTACAGTGCACTACTATTTGTATCATTTCTATAAGCATAATTTATACCATCATTTATACACTATATATTGTTTGATAACAACAACAAAATATTTAGTACTTTCAAATATTCCTAACAGACAGAGACAGTTCTTTCCAGGATTAAAATATTGAATTACAGCATTTGGAAGCTTTCTTAATTGCACTGCCTTGTTTGTATTTGCTGAAATCTGATCCAGCAGCAGCAGAGACTATTCCTTTTTTAATTATAAGAATGATCTTTTCCATGTATAACAGATTTTTAAAATTAGTTAGTAAGTTTCAAAGACACCATGTACATCCTACAAATTTAATCATTTTAAAAGCCCCCTGAGAACTTAAAACAATGAATTCTAAACCTCAGATAATTTTACACCTTCTGGTTGGGGGGCAGATTTCATAGCTGAATACAAGGTCTGGGTGGAACCATTCACTGGAAGTTAACACTAGCACTCAGACTGCCCAACTCTGCTCATTTCACATACACCCAGCCAAGTAGTAGAAGGCTATCTCTTTCTGAACAAATTTATCTTTCCAGAGATACTGGGAACATAGAAAGCAGAATCATTTCTTGTAGGGGAACTGTTCCTAAGAGAAAAGTACCGAAAACAAAACCCCAAATCCCACAGCAATATAATCCAACACATCATTGTAACTGGTATGCAGAGAAAAAGGAAAAAAATCTTTTTCATCTCCTGCTATGTAGTTTTGGAACCACTCCCAAAGTTAACTCTTCCCCATGCATCACGAATGATGGCGACTACATCCTACTGCCTTTTACAGTTTAGAAACTGTGGAAACTAACACAAAGAAAACGACAAAGTAGCACATAAATCCTGGAGAATTAATGGGGAAAGAACTAGAGGAGCAGAGGAGAATGGGGTAAAACGTCATGGCAAAGTTAGAGACTTCTCAGGAAAGCCAGTTCCTCATAAGGGACTCTGGTGCTGCAGCCTGCCGTGCAAAACTTTCTTCAGCTAAAACTCCTATTAATCACCACTCATGTGAACCCCAGAACAAGAGACTGCACGTGCTGCTTCAATTTTCAGACACATTGCTGCACACGGGATACAGCTCTTGGGCTTTCACTTAGACACAGTATGAAGTAGTCTGGGGTACAGTAATTGCCATCAGAGCGTGGAGTCAACAGTCAACTACTCTGACATCTTTTCTCTTAAGAACTGAGATATTGTCATCTTTTGATGGAAAAGTTACTTTTCAGTATTGGATAGATTAATACTTTCATATTTAGTTATGCAATGGCATTAGGAGGACAGAAAGGAATATGAGAATTCCGTAAGAGTTGATTTAAAAAAAGATCATCAGGTTATGTAAGAGAGGTTAAGAAGAAATTAATTATTTATACTAAAGTTATACTTAAAAATAAAAACGAAAGCAATCAAAAATTAAAAACAATTCCATTCCTTTACCATTGGGACAGAATTAATACTGCTTCTAGAAGTTGTTACTAATAATACTGTTAACATTTCTAATTCAACTTTACTATTTTCATGAGCTGAAGAAAAAGGATCATTCAATTAAGGGTATTATTCCCTCCAAAATACAAGCACTGAATAATTTATACTAACTAGTAACCACTCACAGTATTTCTAAATATATAATTAATCTTTTTTCCCCAGAAATTTGTCTATGAATGCAAGAAATAGCCATGAGATTCATTTTTACGGAAGGTCTCTGCTCCTTAGACACCTCTTAAGTAAAATGTATAATGGTAATTCAATTGTACATGTAATTAAATTGAGTTAATCACATCACTCTTGAATTTAAATTTATTTGGTGAATAACATGTTAGTTTTATTTTTTAATTTTTAGGTTTTGTTCAGTAATAGTTGGCTAGTTATGGCTTTGGGTTTTTTTTTTTTTTTTTTTTTTTTTTTTTTCTTTTTTTTTTTGGGTTTTTTTTTTTTTTGTTTGTTTGTTTGTTTGCTCGTTTCATTTTTTGGGGGGGTTAGGATGTTTGAGGGGTAAGACAGGTAAAAAGAGAGGAGAGGACAACAACACAAGCCTAAGAACATTTTTGACACTGCATTCATATGACCTGAACTTCTTAAGACATATTCTAAACACATTTTAAAATATAAAGCCTCTCTAAGACACTGGAGTAAATTAGCATTTTAAGTACAAACATTTCATTAAGCAGGCAGAGTTACATTTCACTAAGCATGAAAATTTTTTATGACTACAAAAATCAGTTTTTTCCTTTGAGCTGGCTATTAGAGATACTATCTCAGGGCTGATACTAAGCATTAGCTCAGGTCTTACCTGGAAGGATTTTAAAGATCAAGGAGTAGCGTGAGGTGTATTGTATTTCTTAAGTGTTCATTGCAAGAGTTTAGATACCAAGCAACCAGGCCAGTTATACTGCTCTGTTACATCAGCTAAAACTCCTAACCCTCTCTGACTTCATCCACAGAAAAGCGGCACTCCTCCCTCCTGAAAACGCACCGCAGTGACTGTGTGATGGCTGGGAAGCAGCACAGAGAAGGCTCATGTGCTTCCTGTTGCTCCCAGTGGCTTCTAATGACTACCACTGCATACAGAACACCCAATACTCCTGGCTAACATGACTGAAGTAGTGATTTATATGCTATGTTTGTTACTCCTCCATCCTTGGCTATGAGCGAAATGTTAATTTTAATACCTACTCCTCCAACGGTGCACTGGTGTTACACAAAATTATGATTTTATCTTTATTGTGACTGCTTTTCTTGTCCCTCACTGTAGCATCTTAAATTGATTTTCCCCATGTAGCTTTATGACTGAGAAGTTGGTCAAAAACCACAAAATAAACAGATCACCTCCATAAAAAAAGGTCTTGTAGCTATTTACTATATCTCTGTGAAATGGAAATCTAAACCAACCACCCCAGGTTATTCCTTGACTTTGGACATGTTTCATTAATCCCAGCACCACTTTATGGATGCATAGAAGATGCAACTTGGAAGATACGCTTTTGTCTCAATTTCAACAGAACTATTAACTATTTAAAAATTAACTTCATGAACAATGCTAAGCACTGTTCTTTCAGGAAGCAGAAAAAGCAAAGCAGAGTTTTGTATATATTGACTGAAAAATAAACCCCAACTCGATAAAATAACTTGAGGAAGCATCATTTTTTTGTTACAAAATACAAGGAACAAACTGAAGCCTAAAGATGCTTGTGACCTAGCTGAACCAAAACCAGGTCCTGAGAGAAGAATGCAACTCATAATGAAGTATACTTCCACTAGGATATAACTGGCTGTGTGAATCTTTAGGCTGCCATTCTAATAGAGACTAGTATGAATGCAGCTCATGAAGACAAGGGCCATGCAGCCTCTGGAGCAGAGGCAAAACCCACATCTGTTTCCTAAGTAACAGCTAAGGTAAGTTTTTGCAGATCAAACTTCAGGAATACTGTGGTCAGAACAAAGTCTGCTTGTTTAACCCTAATGAGGTCAGCTTTACTTTAAAGTACATTCTTACAGTTAATTGTTTCCTCACCTTACACATGCAAGTTACTTATATATTCTTCAAGAACAGAAAGATGCACGCAAGATGTTTTATACAATTTCTCAAATACATCCAACCCTGCATATCACTCATCACCATTAGAGATTAATCAAGGACAAAATAGCCCACCAAAACAAACAAAAAACCCCCCACTGTTATCTGGCACCATTTGGCTTATTCACGTATTGTAATTACTCATTCCCCTCAGCTACCAGTGTACCTCTTAGAAGCACTTTTACAGCAAAGTAGCAGACCTGTGCTTTACTATTTTTGCACTAGACCAACGTGGAACTCAAGTGACTTTCATTAGCAGCATTCTGAAACTTTCATTACTCTGGTATGTTTTCATGCTTGCACACTGATGCTACCATGTGCAGCTGTCAGAAGGCACCAGCTGAGAACAGGCAACTGATCAGTAATTTTAGGTTGCTTGTGTGGGGTTGGTTTGGTTTTTTTGTTGGGGTTTTAGAGGGTTTTTTTGTTTGGTTCGTTGGGGGTTTTTTTTGTAGTGGAACCCCTCAGATTTACCTGCCTAGCATAGATCCTTCCAGCCCACAGACCAGGTCTGTTTCCACAGACCAGGTCTGTTTCCACATTCGTGTTTAAGACAGCTTCCAAAATTACTGGGTTTGATTTTTACGTCTTTCAACTTTTACATACAGGAATGCTGCACACTAGAGTCCAAATGAAACAAATTGCTCTAGATAATCACCTCAACATAGTTCTCTCTCCAGTGTGCATATGCACAAACAGAAGAGATGCTGAGAAGTAATGAAGCTGGACTGACTGGACTAATTGCAGATGAAGAATTAATTAGCCCTTTGTGAATTATTGTGGAAAATCTGATCTTCCCTGTGCACACGAAGAACAAGGATACGAGTGACCAAGCAAACTGCAGGGTAGAAAATAGGAACATGGGAGAGATGCAGTATTACAAGAGCTAAGATAAAGGGAGAAAGTTAAGACTGAACAATAATATTCAGCATCAATTTAAAAATTGCTTCTGAGTGGACAGCATAATTACAACTTGTACCATTTTGATGGTACAATACTGGAATAGAAACTTTCACACCTCTGTACACTGAAACCTTTAAACTAACTATATTCAAGTCATTGGCCAAACTCCACTCAGAACACTATTTCCTTCTTCAGTTTTATTCTTCAAATTAAGAGACAAGTAAACAGTTCTATGCTCATGGATGAAGTTTCACAATGGCATTAATTCTAACCTTTGCACGTCGATCTTTGAGCTTCTCATTTTCAGTAATTACAACCCATAACATCAGACCAAGATATCTATTAACTATCCATATCTTGGTTCAGTGAATAAGGGCTCTAAATACAAATTTTTCTATCATAATAAGCTTCCAATTCTTCAATAAAGCATCACTTAAATTTTCACTCAAATCTAGATCAGCAATAACCCACTTCACCTACTGCGATGTTGTTATAACTCTCTTCACTACTTTAATCCTATTATGGTTGGATAAGTTTGCTGAGTGCCTTCTAGTTTAGCAACAGCTATCCTACTTTTTTCCCAGATTCCAGTCTAGCAAGTCAAATCTTCTCCCTGATGCTCAATTATCTTGTTACTTGTTCACTATTGATGTTTTAACCTTTTCAAGTCTGTAATTTGCTTAACACGTTACTCATGTTTGTGATTTGAATCAGCACCATATGCTAAATAAGAACAACTGCATCAGAATCACAAAAAAGACTTACAGGTGCTCAGTAACTAATATCTCATTCCCATTTGTCTTCTCATAGGTTTTTATTTCCTTGGAAAGCAGCAAAACACCAGATTCTACACTTGTTCTTATTCCATTAGATATTCACAGTTTAGCAAAGTAGCTTGTGCCTTTAGTGCCTTAGCTGGTGAAGGTTCTGGAGCACAGGCCTTATGAGGAGCGGCTGAGGGAACTGGGGTTGTTTAGCCTGGAGAAGAGGAGGCTGAGGGGAGACCTTATAGCTCTCTACAACTACCTGAAAGGAGGTTGTAGTGAGGTGGGTGTTGGGCTCTTCTCCCAAGTAGTTAGTGATAGGACAAGAGGAAATGGGCTCAAGCTGTGCCAGGGGAGGTTTAGGCTGGAAATTAGGAGAAATTTATTTACAGAAAGGGTGGTCAAGCATTGGAACAGGCTGCCCAGAGAGGTGGTGGAGTCCCCATCCCTGGAAGTGTTCAAAAAATGGGTAGATGTGGCACTTGGGGACATGGTTTAGTCTAGTCTACCCTTGATTGGTTTAGTGTGGATTTGATAGTGTAGGTTAATGGTTGGACTGGATGATCTTAAAGGTCTAAAACCTAAATGATTCTATGATTTTACACCTTAGATTTGTTGCTAAGCCTGTTTGAGCTTCTTTACTAACGTTATGAAAGAATTTCACAAAACACCTTAGCAGTTCATCAGTTATCTGAGAAATAAATCTGAATTTCCAACAAAGATTCTAAAAAAATTCTCTGCATTTCTTTCCCACGGCAGTCATGCTAAGCCATTAATTCTGAAACAGTGATACTGACAACAATGCACACGGCATTGACACTGGCCCTGAACTTGGCGACAACTGACTTCAGTGACGCCCAATTACGTCGGAATGAACAGGTCACTCAAGCCAGTGTAGGCCTTACTATTCATATTATATCACTCAGTTATTTTAATAGTACCGTTATCTAATAAACTTGTTACATACACCTCTGCATTCTAGACCATTCTTTTGAAATTCTCTCTTTTCATATATAGAAAAGCATCTCAAGAGCACAATCTTTACAATCCTCTGCCAGCATTCTACCTTATTACCTTTAAAAACAGATTTATTCAATTACAAAGATTAGTTCACAAAAGTCATAATAATAATTTCTCCTGTAGTGTTAGCCTTAGGTAACTACTACAGTAACCAGAATTTATTCTTTTTTTAACAAAGGAATTAAGTGAAATAAAAAAAAATATTTTCTGAACTTGCTTGTTCAGACAGCAATGAAATGCTTTTCAGCTATTTCCACTTACCTTTATCTCAGGCTCTTTTTCACATTCTTCTATGTATAAATCATAGAGTTTTTGAAATACAGATTTTCTGAAATTAAAAAAGCTTAAAATGTAACTAAAATTAAATCAAAGAAATGCTATTTAAAAGCTGAATACTGAAACTCTTACTACCTTCCACTGGATAAATACTTTCTTTTGGGAGGTCTCTGACGGGCACTTTCAATGATATACTAGAAGACAAAAATAAACCAAAAAATAACATATATATTACAAAGAAATTTAATTATGGTACATGACTGTTTCAAAAGTGTACTAAACATGATCTGGTGTATGATACAGTCATCAACAAGGACACATCTCAATTTAGCTGTGTAACAGCATTTCATAGCTGTGGCATAAGTTGCAAGCAAAGTCTTGATTTTACATTCATGTTTTGCAATTACAGTAGTAAATAACACTTCTGTAGTAGTTAACACTACTGAAATTAACCTGGTAATGTACTGAAGATAACATGCTAAGATACAACCAAATTCATGCATACTGGCTCGACAACATTTGCAAATCAAATACTCCTCAACGTAACCAACTTCAGGAAGTTTAAATTTCCCCTTGTTTCTTGCATTTACACTAGTTTTCTCTGTAGAGCTGTGTATTACAAATACAATTCATATACATTAAATATTTGAATTAAAAAAGAAGAATTAAGATATCATCCCACATTAAATGTAGCTTATATCCTAACCATGTTTTTCCAAAACTCTGTCTGATGTATTTTGATTAACACCTTAGTTCAGAATTTCAATGAAGAGATGTTCTCCCACAGAAACATGTATTTCCCATAATTGGGTTCAAGGTATCCATTATATCAGATGTCAGCATGAACGAACATGAATGTGAAGGCACTTGCCTCTTCGTTCCAAGTGGGCTACCCTTAAAAACACAAAGAGGATTTTGCCATATATTTTTGCCAGCTGTCCCTGGATCACCACCGTACATCTCTGCTTATTTCACAACACACAGATTTGCTGTTTAAAAGGGGAAAACTGAAGTCCTACATAGTCTATCATCATTGCACCTGATGATGTTCTCAGTACAATGGGTAAGAGACAAATACGTGACATAGCAATTTTAGTGAGAATTTTGCAAAACCAGTGTTACATGTATGTGTGATTATTTACATACACACATATACATTTACATAACATGCTCCTCCACTGCTTTTCAGAAGAAATATAAAAATACAATAGGTATTTTTTAACTGTGAGACCGATATATTACGGGCAAATAATGTAGCTACTCCTTACCTCTGCACGATCCAATGCCAGTTCTAAAGCTTGTTGCTGTAAGAATTACAAAGTTTTTTTTCAGAAAGTACATTAACTGTTTAAACATCCTCATACATAAAAACCCCTATGAAAACTCTATTGCTACTGATATGAATTTATAGTCAGAAGATGGGCTCAAACATTCTTTGGCACATACTAAACTTAACAGCTGAAACCTCATGTAACTACATCAATAGTAATTAATCTCACCACCAAGTGTCTACACTTGCAAGGTTTTGACTAAATTATGAAGTCTTAGAACAATGAAAGGCAATTAGAATTAAAAGTAGGAATAGAAATCACACCTAGTGAAAGTAATAACAAATATTAACCAAAACAATTAGAGATGACAAGTAGAAAATCTAGGCTGCACTATTCAAAAAATATAGAGAAATGTTTTGGAGAATCTCCCACTCTTCATTAAAGCTTAGAAACACTTGTAATAGGTACTCCTTCCCACATACACATTTGCGTTATTTCCTCAGTTTAACCCATCCCTATGAGCTGTTTGTAAAAGCCACTAACTTTACTTGAACCTCAAGGAACAGAAGGCATACGAGCCACGTCCAATACACGGCAGCACTAGTTATTTCATACATTAGAAGAGAATTCAGGGGAGAAGTGCATACTACAGTAACAACAGAGAAATATACAGCAAAAATACTTGGGCTTTTTACCATTCACCTACAGTACCTCTAAAACAAAATTTCTTACCCGTTCTTGAAGAAAAAAAAGAAGCACTTGACACGCTATTATTCATTAGAACCTGCCACTGCAGAGCACTGAAATTTTAAAATGTTTAGGTGTCTATATTAATATGTCAAATACATAGGTCTAGTGGATAACTGCATGATTTCAGACATTCAGTTCACCGACTACTTGACAATAGGTAAAAATCCATGGCAATATTATCACCTGTGAATAGAAGAATACTAGGTGGAGGCAGGATTTATACTTCATGCTCCACTGTCTAACACCAGTCGTGACTGAAAACACACCAACAGCTTTATACAATAGTTCCTATGATGTATGACTGTTTAGAAGTATTTACAAGCTATGCAGACGGACATTCCTGAACAAAGAAATGTCAGAACTCAGGAGTGACAAGAAAAATCTTTTTTTTAAGAAAACAAGAAACATTAATGGCATTCTCCGGATCATCCAGACAGCTAGGAGACTAGAGTGAAAAGATCTGAAAATATATTACCAGAATCAAAACTTACCATTGTAGTTGAAGCCAGGTGACCAAATGGCAAAAGAAGTACTTAAGTTTGGTACAGCAGGCAAAGAATCATATTTTACAGTCACACTTGGGGTACTAGGGGGGGAAAAAAAAATCAAGGAGAAAAAAATATCACTAAGAAACTAAATAACCATTTTATTTAAATACAACATTTTCAGTGGTTAATTGTACTTGAATTTCATTTGCATAGTATCCTTTCCTCCAAAAGCAGAAACAAAAAGGTACCATTAAGTCTAAGTGCAGAGGTTCCTATTCTAATGACTACTACTTTGCACAATCATTTTACATTAGTTATATTAAGTAGTATAGTAACAATAAGCATATAATTGAAATTATACAGCCAAGTACTCTTCTCTTTTGCAGCAGTCTACCTAGACACCCCAAACACCACAGCAGATACACAGAAGGCTAGAATATTTAATGGCAAGCAGCCAGTACATTTACTATACCCTATTAGGTTGTTTTGCTTTTATGAAGGTATTATTCCATAGATAACAATTCCACTATCAGCACTATTTTGAGATGTTAGTTTAATACTGAGTCACAGTAAGCTGTCAATTACAAAGTGAATAAAATTTGCACAACGCTACCATGCTCCTCAGATACTATGTCCCTATGCCATCTCATTTTTAAATTCAGCTAGATAGTTGTATGAAAAAAAAAACCCCTAGCTCAAATCCCCCAGTCTTTAAATGCTGTCCTTAGTATCACTCCTAATGAGATGTGAAAATTCAAGTCAATTTTGCTTTCATATTTGAACACTACAGTGCATCACTATATTTGAAATATCCACTTAAGAAATTCCACCACACATAACTTTAATTTGTGGAAATATTTCTGTTGCAGCTACATTCCACATCAGCCACAGCTTTGCCAAACACCTTTCTAAATCTCAGATGACATATACCTGCTACCTCACATCTCCCTAAACCTTACTCAGCTGTTACAGCGTGGAACCAATTTCAATAGGAAAAAAACCACAGTGACTCGCAGCTCCCCGCAAGGCTGAAACCTGCTGGCTTCTGGCAGACGGCGAGGTGGTGGGCAAAAAGGAGCCTGCACAGGATGGCCCGGGGGGCGTCCATCCGTGCCATCCGACAGGCCAGCTGCTTTCCGAGCAGCCTCTCCGCCCCCGCCGGGGCTCAGGCTGAAGCCAGGTCCTAGGAGAAGGAGACCGACACAGCACCCAGCCCGACTGCGAGCGAGGTGCAGGTGCAAGCCCCGGGAGGGACGGGGAGCCCGATCCGCCCAG